TCACAGATCTCACACCTTACAGACACACACACACCTGTACACAAAGCAACTCACACAGACCCTCACACACGCCCCAACATCTGGACACAGATACACAAAAGCAAATACCCAAATTCACATACCCCAGACACAGACCCACATACCAATTCTCCCACTGCAACACCACACACACAGACTCCCAAACACCTTCACACAGAGCAACACCCATAAATACTTTATACCCGCAGACAGACAGACAAGGACAGAGAGATATACCCCTCCCATACATACACATTCCCATACACACACTGATAAACTTTCTAGGTCTAGCAATAACTATGAGAAGTAGTTGGAAGAAATGCCTTGTCACGGGTGGGCCCTGGAGGTGCTGTGGCATCCTGGTGCCCCAGCACCAGCCTCCCTCCCACATGCCTGGGGCAGGCCCGTCCAGCTGCCAGGCCTTGGCTCCGCCCTGGCCCTCTCCTTTCTTCCCCCCTCTCGTTGGCCTTGCCGGTAGCACAGAACTGGAACTGCCCTGGATAGCTTTGAACATCTTCCAGGAGCACCAACAAGGAAAAATAAACACAATTAAGTGAGGTAACAATGGAGAGTGGCCACTGGCCCAAGTGGAAGGTAAGCTCTGCCCAGCCTCTGCCTCAGCCCCAGCATTTGACCCTCACTACTTACAAGGTGAGGAAGGTGCCAACCCAACTTCCGGTTTCAAGAAAAATGAGGCCCAGATATACATCCCCCCTCATGCTTGCCACCACAAGCAAAACTGAAGAAGAGCAAGTATCTGGGATAGTTCCGAACTCCAGGTTTAAATTCTGTCTAGTTGGTATCCTCAAGTCCCATCCACACTGGGGTTTTTCTGAGACAAGCCTTCCCTCCCCCCCACCAGCAGATTTTAACACTGAGCATCTGAGTGCTGGGTGGGACCAGGCAGCCAAGAGCTGTGGATTCTTGCCTTCTCTGCATCAGGGCCCTCCCAGGCCTGGCCCTGTCATCTGGGCTCCTGAGCCACTGTAGGGCTCACAATCTCCCATCTATTCCCATGGGCAGTCACAGAGCTTTGTCCTTCTCACTAGATTGTATTTTTTTTTTCCCCCCAAACCCAGGAATAGATTCAGGGTGAGAAGTACATACATGCATGCATCCTTTCTCTGAATTTAGAAGGTGGTACACACTAATTGGGCTCCTAAAAATTGTTTCTCAGCCAGTGGAAATGACACTATAAAGGCATTCTAAATGCCATCACATTTTGGGCTTGTTTTCACTACAAAAGTATTTTATCTTGAGTACAATTCAATTTGGAGCCAGAGTCGGTTTTAGTTCCACCCCTCAAATCTTCACTTGTCCTTACATGCAATTTCTACTTTTATTTCCCTTAATGTATAAAACTTTCCAAAGAGTGAATCAGGCCACAGCAGAGTTTGATGTGCTGTTAATTCCAGCCGCTGCAGAAAAACAATGACCTACGGACCCTCCATTGATCTGTAGCAAGAGGAAATTTCTGAATGACCGCTCCCTACCCCCACTCCCACCCCAGCTGTCCACGGTCCACTGGGTCTAAAACACAAAACTTCAGATCTTAGCAGTTGGGCTTTCAAACAAACTAATTTTTAAAAATGAATGTGGCTTACTCCAAAAAGAAGTCTAACATTCCAGCTGATCAAAAGTACTTGTTTAGAAAAATAAGTTTTGGAATGAAGTGGAAACAAGGCCTTTGAAATGCAGCTTGGCCTAAATAGCACCACATTGTAGACTTTTCCTCCCCATTGCACATTCTTTATGGTGAAGAGGCCAGGGAGCCTGCGGGGTCTGCGGCTGCCCCAGCCCTCCTTGGCCTCTGGCTTCCCCTCCCCCGCCGCCGAGGCCCTCAGCCAGCGGCCCGGCATCTGGGAGAACTTTGAAACTGTTCTCCGTCCCCTTTGGCAGCGTGCGCCAAGCGCCAAAATGCTCCAGTTAACACCAGCGCAATCATCTTTAACGTGAAACAGCTGCCCTGGGCCTGGCAGGATCCACCAGTCTGCCCTCCAGGGCTCGGGGCTCAGCTGTGAGTCACAGGAGACCCTGGCTAACGAAGGGCTAGCAGAGGGGGTGCGAACAGTGGTTGATAGAGCCCAGCTGTCGTAGATAAGAAAAAAAAGTACGTTTGCTAAATCTCTTACCTACTTTAGAAGAAGTGTCTGAACTGTGTATGTGGGAGGAGGGAGAAAGAAAATCACGAACTGGATTTATGAACCTAATTTTAAGTTTCTTAAGTGTGATTGTTTTAAAAGCGAGTCTAAGGAAAGCGCAGTCTCCATACTGAAATTTTTTTCAACTGTTTATGTCTGTAGACAAATCAATGTAGTCTTTTTTTTCTTGCGTTTTCTCTAGACCTGGCTTGAATTTGCTTGCTGGCCACTTGTAGGCTGTCGAAAGCATAGACCCAGGATTTTTTTTTTTTTTGCATAAATAACTTGTGTGTGGCTCACTCCCAGAGGAAGTTGTCTGGGTAAACAAACATCACCCAGCTATAAGTTTAACCTGTTTAATCTTTTTCCATTCCCCACCTCTCTGGACAAGAAGCCAGGCTTTCCAAAGTCCAAGCTAAACTCTGGCTCTCCCCCCACCTCCAGTTCAGCACTCAGGCTGGGCAGGCAACAGGCTGGCAGAGGCCACTCCTACTCGAAGCAGTTGTTCCCTGGGTGTCCCAGCAAAATATCGGACCCTCAGCTGCCTCTGCAGCCACGTGACACACTCGATGACTCACAGGCCCGCCACACCCCTCCAGACCCTGCCACAAGCCAGCCAGCACTGGGATGCATCTTATTACCAAGGGGAACAGCTAACTAATGCCCTTGACAGTCCAAATTATTCTTCTAGCTAAGAATTTGATATAAAATATATATGGGTGATAGTGGACAGAGGCCCTTCTTTACTCTGGCTCTGTCAACTCTCCAAAACCTGGAAGTCCCTGACAAGGTGATGGGAAACTAGAAAGCCAGACAGTCCTGCTTAAAAAGAAAGCTACCTTCATATCAACTTTTTTCCAAAAATTTTATTGGGGGAAAACTACAAAACATTTACAGTACAATGTTTACAGTCACAATTTGTAGTGAACTGATTCCCCAAAATATATTACAACTCAAGTTGACTTATCTTGTTACATTCAAAAACCTACTTCTGTCAAAGTAGTCCAGAGGGTACATACATACATAGTGCTCCAACGGTACCTACGTACAAACTAAAGCTACTGCTCATTCATCCACTGTCCAGGAAAGCTCGGGAGACATTCCTGCCTTTCTACAAGGGAAAAAAATAGTACAGGTTTTGGAATTTTCTGTAATTAAACAAGGCATATTCATGTATTACATGTTTTCAGCACTAAAAGGTGGCCTCTTCACTTTACATCTATGTAAAAAAACAAAGTGGTAAAATCTTTTCCTTTTGTGCAGTTGAACCCATCCTACATTCAAATTCTCTCAAGCACTATAAACAAAATACTTATTTGGTTGAGGAAGATTTAAGGCAAGTTCGGGCCCTTTCAAAGGCACTGTGAGACTAACACCCCCCCTCCCCCCAGTTATTGCTACATGTCTTAGTACTCAATGTCACAGTAGAATTGGTGGAATGAGCAAACAAAAAACACCTTTTGCTAATTTATGAAGTTGGAATTAGAAAAGTAGCTACTTTTTTCAGTCTGATTGCAAAGTATGTGGTCATTTTTTTCTCCTTTAAAGTTGGATGGGCTACAACCATTATACATTCTAAGAAAACTCTTTAAGATATTCCTCAAACTATTTCCACAGCATCAAGATAGATTTCTGTAAAGAAATCAGGCAATCTTTCAAAATTTACGTAAACAAGGAAAAAAATTAATGAAATAAATATTACATACAATCTCTTAAATTAAGATTTTTTTACTCATTTACAATAAAATAACCAAGTGAAGTTACAAAAGGCATATATTACTGTGAAAAGAACATACACTCCACATTTTGCCGATTAATAATGGCAATCATAATTTAACATAATAAAAGAATATATATCTATTGCTTTTCATCATACTTGATAAATACAGTATGAACAAATTTTCAATGTATACTTTTCACAAGATAATAAATAAGTTAAATAGTTTTCATATTGAGTTGTGGTGCAGTGGTGCGAATCAACTCAAAACAGCTAAAAATTCAGCAGTTATTCCCCAACAATTAAAAACTAAGCTCTGCCCAAGGCTTCCAGAGAGCAGACAAAATGGTTCTAAACTAAACATCCACTAAGTGGTGGCAATGAAACTAGTATGAAACTTTGGAATGCAACGGTTCTTTTTTTTTTTTTTTTTT